ACTACTACTACTAATACTACTACTAGTACTACAGGAGCGTTTCCCAACTAGTATGTGTGTGTGGGTGATGCTGTGTGCGCATGTCTGCGGCGCAGGTTAAGTGGTGTGACTGTGTGTGTGCGTTTGAGTGTGCGCCCATAATTTCTGCGTCTGGAGAATAACCCCGAGCGACCCGGATCGGCGGCACTGGCCGAAGGCCACTACAATATGTTTTCCTCTCCAGACAATCGTCTGGGGCCTCGGGCGCCCACTGAAGCCTGCCCAGGGCTGTCCTGGACTCTTCTTGGGGCCTCCTGGAAGCCTCTCGGGGCGAAGAACTTAAGATTTTCGGCTCATGCTCACCTTCTTGAGCCAATCTCGGGGCCGTCTTGAAGGTTTCTTGGGCCGTCTTGGGCGCCCCTCGGGCCGCCGTTGAGCCCTTTTAGGCAATCCTGGGGCCCTCTTGAGGCCTCTTGGCCCGTCCTGCGGCGGTGTTGGAGGCCTCTTAGGCAATCGTAGATGCTTGGAAACTCGACAAGTAGCGGATCCCCAACCCATCGAAGAACCCTAGGGTAATCAAATATGTTTGCCTCCCGAGCGCCTGCTGAAACCTGCCCGGGGCCGTCCTGGCGCCTTGTTGGGGCCTCCTGGAAGCCTCTCGGGGCGAAAGGCTCAAGATTTCAGTTCATGCTCCCCTTCTTGAGCCCACCTGGGGGCCCTCTGTAAGGCCTCTTGGACCATGTTGGGCACCCCCGGGGGTATCGTACCCCTGGGGTTAAGTCGGGCGTGTCCCCCTACAGGGGGATTTTGGGCGAAGAATAAAAATACTAAAAGAATACCCCAAAATTGTCAAAAAATACTCACAAAAAATAGTCCCCAGACTATTTTTGGATTTTTTGTTTGGCTATCCCCCTGTAGGGGGACACGCCCGACCTAACCCTGGGGATATCCTGGGGCGGTCTCGGGTTGTGTTGGATCAGTCTTGTAAACTTTACTCGGCGGCGAGCGAGGGGGGGAAATGAGAAGGAGAAGGCCGTCTCAGAAGGCTGCGGGACTTCTCAGGAACCCTCGCGCCTTCTGAGAAGATTTGTCTGTCGCCGGGGAAGGCTTAGAATACATCTCGGAAGGCCGGGGGACTTCCGATCCGACCTTTCCGAGAAGGCCATCTCCTTCTCACTTCCCCACTCGCTCGCCGCCGACTTGTATCGATTTCGAAGCCATCGGGGAGCCCACGGGATCACGCTGGGGGCCACCCCTGGGGCCCCGAGCCCGAATGCCACGCCTGGCCCGTGGTTCTGCGCCCGCCCCTGACCCACTCAAATGTGTCGATCTATCGAGCGATCGATCTATCGATGTTTATACATTCATGCTATAATAATAGATACATGAACCTAAAAGCATGTACATATGCACCTAGGCATATAGATGCATATATATATGTATATATATGTATATGTAAATGTGTATGCGCATACGTTCATGCATATAGATGTACCTAAACATAACCAATTATTTATACACATACCTGCACAAATGCAGATGATAAACATATAGACCTAGTCAGAACCAAAAACACATACACTTACACATACATACGCATATATATATATATGTGCAAAGCCATACATGTACACATGCGCATATACATATAAATATACATACACCTACATATACACGTTTACATGTCTCTATACGTATACATATACATATACATATGCATATGTATATACACATACACATGCATATACATATACATTAACATATACACATACAAATACGTGTACACACACATACATAGATATGCAACTACACCAACTTATATATGCATACAACTATAAACGACAGGCTGGCAAAAGGTTTTCTCCTTACGCCGCAACATGGTCCAACGCCGCAGAACAGGAGGATTTGTGTGAGCGATGGTTGCACTATGTGGTGCAGTGGCTGGCCGAACACATTGCGCTTCGGATGTCCACACACACTGCCCCGTTTATACTGTAGCACAACAATGCGGAATGTGGGCCAGTATGTATGTTCTGTACACACCGTCCTGTTTCGCGTGTTTGCACCCACGACGTGAGTGAAATGCTAGTTCATTGTCGTACACACATCGACAACACCCTATGTGTCTTGGGAACACCTTGCCACCACAACGTCTCGAATGTATACGCCCACCACGCGTGTGAATAGTTTCCTTGACTTCCCTGCACCATGTGATAAATATAATGTGTCTCGGAGCGTCGCCCCCCCCCCCACGACGACGCCGCCGACGACGACGATGATGATTTTGACGACCACCACGACAACTACGACGACGTTGACGTGCGATCTCGCCCGAACGCCGGCCACTCCCTGGTTCTCGCCTTATCGCTGGCTAGTGTCCCGGTCTGGCCGACCACTCTCCCTTAAGCAGGGAGAGGCCCCAGGGCGGCGCTTCCCCCCTCCGGGAGGGGGACGTGCTGGGGGAGCAGCAAACAAACAGAGGAGGAGGAGGAGGAGGAGGCGGAGGAGGAGGAGGAGGAGGAGGAGGACAGGGAGGAGGAGGAGGAGGAGGAGGAGGAGAACGCGAACGTGTAAGATGTAGTCGGGGCATGTCCGCGCCGGAGACGGGGCAATTTGCGGATATTTCTCCTGCTATGCACGCAGCGTGCAAAATCGAAGGGGCGTTGCAAGAGCTTCGCGGAAACCAGGGCCAAACCTTGCACATTGCAAGGACGTCTCAGGCTAAGGAAGACCCAAACCAGGTCAAACCAGACAATTTGCGAGGACGTCTCAAGCGAAGCCGGGCCCAAACCAGGCCAAACTAGGCAAATTGCAAGCAAAACAAAGCCCAAACCAGGCAAATTGCGAGGACGTCTCAAGCAAAACACAGCCCAAACCAGGCCAAACCAGGCAACTTATGAGGACGTCTCAAGCAAAAACGGCCCCAAACCAGGCCAAACCAGGCAAATTGACAGGACGTCTCAAGCAAAACAACACCCAAACCAAGCCAAACCAAGCAAATCCGAAGGACGTCTCAAGCAAAACCGGGCCCAAACCAGGCCAAACCAGGCAAATTCGGAGGATGTCTCAGCCGGTTTGCGGCGCCCAACCGAGATAAACCAGGCCAACCCAGGCAAAACCAGGGCCCAAACCAGGCAGATTTCGAGAAGGTCCCAAGCAGAATCGCCCAAACCAGGCTCCACCCACTTTCTTTAAGAAAATTCAAATTAAAGGAGTGGATCCACCAAGGGCCCCCCCTGGCGCGAGCCCGTTTAGAATTTCATTGGGGGGGTGTTTGGACCACATGCCCGGCGAGGCGGACGGGGTCGGGTGCGGAAGGTTTCGCTTGTCTTTCGGTTGTTCTTGGGGTGCTGTTACGCCGTGAGGATGAGGAGGAATCAGAGCCGGACCGCGAAGCGCGAAGCGCGAACACCTTCGCGCCCTCGAGGGCGCCCTCGGATCTCATGGGTGGGGCGGCCGCGCTCGGAGCTCCGCTCGGGGCCCTCCGCCACGCGTCGGCCTTGCTCTGCGCCGCCTCGGTGCCACTGCCCCTGCCCTGCGCTGCGGTGCGCCGCCGCCCTCGCCCTCGGCCGTGCCCTGCACTGGCAGGCCCCTCCTCCTCCTCCTCTCCTCCTCCTCCTCCTCCTCCTCCTCCTCCTCCTCCTCCTCCTCCTCCTCCTCCTCCTCCTCCTCCTCCTCCTCCGCCTCCTCCCTCCTCCGCCTCCGCCTCCGCCTCCCCTCCGCCTGCTCCTCCGCCTCCGCCTCCGCCTCCGCCTCCGCCTCCGCCTCCGCCTCCGCCTCCGCCTCCGCCTCCGCCTCCGCCTCCGCCTCCGCCTCCGCCTCCGCCTCCGCCTCCACCTCCGCCTCGCCTCGGCCTCGGCCTCCGCCTCCGCCTCCGCCTCCGCCTCCGCCTCCGCCTCCGCCTCCGCCTCCCCTCCTCCTCCTCCTCCTCCTCCTCCTCCTCCTCCTCCTCCTCCTCCTCCTCCTCCTCCTCCTCCTCCTCCTCCTCCTCCTCCTCCTCTCCTCTCCTCCTCCTCCTCCTCCTTCCTCCTCCTCCTCCTCTCCTCCTCCTCCTCCTCCTCACCTCCTCCTCCTCCTCCTCCTCTCCTCCTCCTCCTCCTCCCCTCGCGCCTCCTCCCTCCTCCTCCTCCTCCCTCCTCCTCCCTCCTCCTCTCCCCTCCCTCCTCCACCTCCTCCTCCTCCCTTCCTCCTCCTCCTACTCCTCCTCCTCCTCCTCCTCCTCCTCTCCTCCTCATGTCCTCCTCCTCCTCCTCCTCCTCCTCCTCCTCCTCCTCCTCCTCCTCCTCCTCCTCCTCCTCCTCCCTCTCCTACATATGATAGCGGTGGTGGAAAACGGGCCCATCAAGGCGAGCAGTCAGAGGGAGGGGATCGGCAGCTCAAAGATGGGCCCCCGAGTAACGAGCCGAACTCTTTGCACCGGCACTGTTCCCAGCACCGCACTGAAATTCGCACACAGGAACACGGATCTCTTGTTCCTTCGAAAAAAAAGCACGGATCCTGATGTACACGGGTACACTGGATCCTGGTGTATAAATGTTTCGTTGCCTGCACTGGAAAATACACCATACCACCCCGACGTCGTCTCCGACCCTCAAAAATCCTAGGCTTCAAAAGCAGCCCGCCACTGGTATGTACATGCTCCAATTACCGATTCATAGATGGGGCCCTGAGGGTGCGACGGGCTGCCGGGCTGTGTCTGCCCCCTCGAGACTCTTCCTGTACCCTATCCAGCCTTCCGAGGAGCCCCTTGTGACGTCGAGAAATGCTCAGGACAGGGCTGAACCTAAACGGTGTTCTTCGTTTTCGTTTTCCCTCGTTTTGTCTTCGATCCGCCTTTGCCGCAAAACGACATCGAAACGAAAACGGCCCACGAGATCGCCAAAACACCGTTTGGGTCCAGCCATGGCTCAGGAAGCGTGTCGGAAGACTAGAACCCCTCCTGAGCCTTCTACCAAAGCTCCCTCCCCCTGCCTTCCTCCCTAACCGTGCCGCCGATTGAAGCAGCAGCGAGGGGAGGGCACCCTGAAGTCGTGGTGGCCGACTTTGCCGGTCAGCGCGTCCAAGACGGCCTGCGCGGGGGGGGGGGGGGGGGGGGCCGCGCGGGCTGGCGCGCCGGCTGGCGCGACATGGCGCCAGAGGACCGTGGCGCAGAGGACAGAGCCCTGACCTCCTCGCATGGTGGTTAGAACGCTCCAGGCGCGACAGAGACCAATCCGTGTTCAGTTCGGCGCTGCCGCGATCCCCACCTTGATTGTTTCATATGATGCCCAGCTATTGAGATGAATTCCGGGGCACGTGTGCTCCATTCGGCCTGCACGTGCTCAGTGTCCGCCACACGAATGCACCCTGTCCTCGGCGGCCTCGCCACTCGCTGGAGACACACTGCTCTTCGATTGCGATGACCCGAGGCTCTGCCGCCCCCAGCCACAAGTCTCTCGGCGCAGCGGGATTCCGCGCGAGTCGCCGCCGCTGCGCGCGCCACGGTGACTGCCCACACCTCCCTGCCCCTGCTGGAATCATAACCAAGAACACTGGACATCAGCAGCGGCATCGGGCCCACAACACGCGCCGCCGCTTCTGGTCAGGGGGCCGCCGCTACCGCAGCCTTCGATGCACCATCTCCGCGCCAGTCCAAGACTTGCGCCACGTGCCTGTTCAGATTCTCCACCACCACACTCCGACGCCCAATGCAGTGTTGCCATTGCCGAGCCCCGAGAAGCGGAACGCCCGCCCCTGGGACTATCCACCATGGTCGCCTCGTCCGGGGCAACACTGGCCCGGGGCGAAACCGGCCCAGCGAAACCGACCCAGTGAGACGCCGACCCAACGACACCGCCCTGGGCGACATCGCTCCGGGCGAAACCGACCTGGGGCGAAGCCGACCCGGCAACACCGCGTGAAGCGACACTGACAAACCCGACCCCTGACAAACCCGACCCCAGGCGAAACCGCCCTGGGCGAAACCCAACACGGGCGAAGCCGACACAGGCAAAACTGACACCAGGCGAAACCGACCGCAAGCGAAACCGACCCCGGCGAAAACGACCCGGTCGAAACCAACCCGTGCTGCTGTCAGGAAATCCCTGAAGGTCCCCTGGAGGAGCCCTGGGGGTCCCTGGAGCACTCCAGAGGCCAACAGAAATGTGAAAGGGGAGCTCCTCCCTGTCCTGACTGCCGGAGCCTCACACACTGACATGTTGTAGCCTGCATGACGTGCAGTTCGTCCTCTCCTGTGGTCGACGCCACTGACCAGCACTCGAGGGTTCGGGCTCCCGCGGGTTCCTGGCGCCTTTGCTGCGACAGTGGTGCTACTGCGTGCAAATGGCGCCTTGCATGTCGCAACGCGCCGGATGCGTATTGCAGGTCCTCTCCTGCGGCCGACCCCAGCCACCTACATTTGGTGGTTTCGGGCTCCCGCGGGCTACCGACGCGTATGCTACGGCAGCAGCGCGACTGCATGCGAATCGTTACGTCCTTTCCTCGCAACGTCCCGCCGCGCCGGAGCGCGCACGAGGCGCCGCTGCCCGCTCGCGCTCCGAAGCAGGCAACGGAACCGTCGCAGCCGACCTTCGCTCGTTCACTGATTTCCACCATGTGTTTGGGCCACTGCCACATGACTCGCGATACCGCCCGTGACTGGCCCCGCCCATCTCCCTTCCCTCCCCCCTGGTCACACCACGATTGGTGCCAGCGCCGTCTTGACATTCCAAAACACCACCTGCGCGAATCGCGACGTGACCAGCTCCCTACAGGGCAGCTTTTTTGTATACATGGGATGTTTAACAATATAGGATTTGTAATACATGATTGATGTATGAATAAATTTATGCATGAACTCATCGTTGTTTTTAGTCCCACCAGCCCTTTTGGGCGTGAGTGGTTTAGAGAGCCCGCTCTGTCCTCAACCCCCCTTCTTCCCCTTCGGGGAGGGGTTTACCCCTTCCCCTACCCCCTCCCCCTGGACCTGGAGAGGGGGTTTCGCGGGTCGTTGGAGGGGTCTTTTCCGACTCCTGGGAGGGCTAAAAAACGACGAGCCTCACGAGGAAAAAAATAAAAAAAGAAAACAAAAAAAAAAAAAAAAAAAAGAAGAAAAAAAAAACATAGAAAAAAAAAAAAAAAACGAAAAACAAAAAAAAAAAAACGAAAAAAAAACAAACAAAAAAAAAAAAAAAAATAAAAACGAAAACAAACAAACAAACAGATTCTGGCCCACCCTCCTCGACGAGATATACCCCCTCTCCTCTTTCTTTGAAGCCAAAATTCTTGATTTTACTACGGTTTTTGGCCCCATCTGGTTGGCCATCCTGAGGGGGCCGCGCTCAGCTGCCTTCATAGCAAAATCATTGATTTTACGCAGGTTTTGGGCACATTTTGTCCTTCTCAGGGGGCAGCGCTCATTTGCGCTTCTGAGGAGGTCGCAAGAGGCCCCAAGATGGCCCCCAGAGGCCCCCAGGAGCCTCCCAAGAGGCCTCCAAGAGGCCCCCAAGAGGCCCCCAAGAGGCCCCAAGAGGCCCCCAAGAGGCCCTCAAGAGGCCTCCAAGAGGCCCCCAGAAGCCCCACGAGGCCCCCAAGAGGCCCCCAAGAGGCCCCCAAGAGGCCCCAAGAGGCTCCAAGAGGCCCCCAAGAGGCCCCACGAGGAGCCCGAACGACTCACACCAGGACGAGGGCCCGAACGACTCACACCACGAAGAGCCCGAACGACTCACACCACAAGGAGGGGCCCGAACGACTCACACCAGGACGAGGCGCCCGAACGACTCACACCACGAGGAGCCCGAACGACTCACCCCACGACGCGGGCCCCGAACGACTCACACCACGAGGAGCCCGAACGAGTCACACCAGGAGGAGGGGCCCGAACGACTCACACCAGGATGAGGGGCCCGAACAACTCACACCACGAGAAGCCCGAACGACTCACACCAGGACGAAGAGCCCGAACGACTCACACCACGAAGAGCCCGAACGACTCACACCAGGAAGAAGGGCCCGAACGACTCACACCAGGACGAGAAACCCCAAACGACTCAAATCACGAGGAACGTTTTCTCTCCCTCCTCCACCGCCTCGTCCTTCTCCCGCTCCCCCCACAAGGAGGATGTACAAGGAGGCGGGTGGAAGGAGGAACAGGAGAGATATGCGGGGCCAAGCGGACACACGCCTGAAAAACACAATTGTCGGCATGCTTCGCAAAAGATACTGCTGTGAGATGAGCTGGTGGGGATACGCGAAGCGTAAAGAATACTAAACCCCTGCATGTTGAATACATGGTCCGCACGCGGAGCATGTACTAATTATCCCGGCAAAGCAACCTAACATCGATATGTAGAAGCATAGCTGGAGGCATGCAGCAGCAGTAACAGTCACAGTAGTAGTAGCAATAAGAGCAGGAGAGATGAAACAGTGGTAACAGTGAAGTAGTAGTTGTAGTTGGCTGGAGTGAACGAGTGAAAAACGAAACTTTCCTATGAATATTGGGAGTCGCGTAAAAAAAGGAGACACTGCTATCAACGTTGGGAGTGTGTCAAAACGAGTCACTGCTATGAATGGGGAGAGTCGTGTAAGATGGAGACGCTGCTATCAACGCTGGAAGTGTTTCCAAACGAAACTCTGCCATGAATTTTGGGAGTCCTGTTAAAAGGAGACACTGCTATCAACGCTGGAAGTGTGTCAAAACGAGACACTGCTATCAATAGTGGCAGTCGTGTAAAAAGGAGACACTGCTATCAACGCTCGCAGTGTGTCAAAACGAAACTTTGCTGTGAATTCTGGCAGTCGTGTAAAAAGGAGACACTGCTATCAACGCTGGAAGTGTGTCAAAACGAGACACTGCTATCAATAGTGGGAGTCGTGTAAAAACGAGACACTGCTATCAACGCTGGCAATGAATGATGATGATGAGTGCGATGATGAGTGCGACGATGAGATGATGACTGTCCTTTTTTCAGAGGACCGCGCTGAGGAGCGGCGTGCGAAGCGGAGAAGCTGCAAAGCGCGCAGGCTGAAAAGCATTGCAGACACGCGCAGGCTGAAAAGCATTGCACGACACGTGCAGGCTCACCGCGCACAGCTGCACACGAGCGCAGGCTGAGAAGCACCACGCGCATGCAGGCTGAGAAGCACCACACGAATGCAGACGGACAGACTGAACAGCACCGCCACAACGCAAGCTGCATCTCATGGCTCCTCAAGCACGCGCAGGCCATCCCAGTTGCTGTCGGGCCTGCGCGCAAGCGATCTTCGTCGCGGCAATCTTGTCCGTGAAGAGCTCGGCGAAGGCCTTGGCGATCTGTTCCGGGGGGCCGGATTCGATGATGCTCCGGTCAGGCAAGCCGTGGCTCAAGAGTTGGATGAAGCTTCTGGGGCGCGACAGGCTGACGTAGTAGGCAAGCCAAATGGACTCCTTCTTGAGTCCTGGCGGAAACGTCCAGTGCACGATGAAGCCTGGGTCCGTCGTCTTGCCCTGGACGCCATGCAGAGTCCCCTGCTTTTTGGGCAGCACGGTCAACTGCGTCCTGGACACCGCGATGGCCGGGCCACCTGTCTTCGCTTTGAACTTCCAGGGGCGCGCCTGCGGGGTGATCGCGAGCACTCCGCGCAGGTCGGGGCCGGCAGGCTGAGAAGCACTGCCAGCTGTCACCGGCGCGGCCTTCAAGAAAAGTTCATCGCTGTCATCGATCTTGACATAGACGGCCTTTGGCATGTAGTAGAGTACGACCACGCCGTCCGAGACAATGGACGGGCGCCCTCCACCGGAGGCTCCAGAGCGTGCAGCTCTATGCCTACCACTTTGCCTGGCGCGCCACGGACATACTTCGGCGGCAAGACGGATTCTGTCAGGATGACCTCCATGCCAACGAAGAGCGGCAGCAGCCCCGGCATTTTTGCGGTAGCGCCGATGTTGGGCTCCGCGCGCATCTCGTCGAAATCAGGCTTCGCGAGGCGCGCAGCTGGTCTGTCGATTGCTGGGACGTAAAAGAGCAGCTGGCCAGCATCGTGCGCATCAAGCGTGGCCTGTGCATGCATGGCGTAAGAGACGATGCGCCACTCATAGGCCGACTCGTACCAG